CCGCCCACCCACCCACTGTCTGCGTTACAGCTGCCTCCTTTGCATGGCCGCTTTCACTTGTAACCGGCGCGGCGGTCCCCTCGTGACAGCCAGATCCGAGGAAATCACCCGCGTGGAGAACAACTACAAATTCAGCCGAAAACTGCAACTGAACACCTCTGACTCAACGAACTCAGGACAGGACATGACTCAACCATCCACAGGCAGTCTGGTCAGGCAGTGCATACGCAGAAGAATGCTGCCTGATCCCACACACATTGTGAGATGACCACACGGACAAAGGAGGCAGAGGAGGAGACAAAGAGGGCGGAGAGAAAGGAACTGCAGCACAATGTAGCCATCGGCAAGAATAGTCCCCCAGAATAGTCTTCATCAAATGCCGTGTCCCCGTAGTCATCAAGTCTCCACTCTCTCTCTCTCTCTCTCTCTCTCTCTCTCTCTCTCTCTCTCTCTCTCTCTCTCTCTCTCTCTCTCTCTCTCTCCCGCTCTCTTAGAAGGAGAAGTCAGATATGTGCGGGCGGAGGGAGAGAAGAGGAGGAGAAGAAGGCGAAGAAGAAAGCTCTCTCATCATTCTCGTCTCTCAGGAGGAGGATACTGACCAGCAAAAGACTAGTCATTTTGAGCTGCCTGATGTCTGCAGGTAGAGGGCCAAGCCGGGGTCTGGTGATGAAGGCCAGCAACGGATCCAGCAGGTGCGTGCCCTCGAATCACAGCCTCCGTGGCCTCTACTCCTGTGCCTAATGCTACCTCTAATGCTGCTCCAGCAGCGTAACCCTAAGCTCACATCTGAACAACTACCTAATGAACGCTACTCAGCCCAGCTATAAATTGCACTGGGCCGACCAGTCCTGAGAGCGGCCTGGCTCCGGGGCTCATCTCACGATCGCTGGGCCTGGATGCAGGCTGTGAAACAGGTCCAACTACTGGGCCCAAAAGAAACGTGGTCTCCCTAGTGCTGCAAAAAGACGAACTGTGCTGAACCTCCGAAAACGGTGCAGCCGAAAACCTGGGACTGCAGGCCTAGGTGCAGCAACTGGGTCCAGAGGGCACAGCCTGGACCAGACAGGTCCAGACGACACCCTCTGGGCGTAGAGGCCACGGCCTGGACCAGACAGGTCCAGACGACAGCGCTGGGCCTAGAGGCCACGGCCTGGACCAGACAGGTCCAGATGACATCGCTGGGCGTAGAGGGCACGGCCCGACCAGACAGGTCCAGACAACACCGCTAAGCCTAGAGGGCACAGTCTGGATCAGACAGGTCCAGACGACAGCGCTGGGCCTAGAGGGCACAGCCTGGACCAGACAGGTCCAGACGACACCCTCTGGGCGTAGAGGCCACGGCCTGGACCAGACAGGTCCAGACGACACCCTCTGGGCGTAGAGGGCACGGCCGGGACCAGACAGGTCCAGACGACACGGCTGGACTGAGCTGAACTGAAATGCCACTGTGACGGCGCAGACCGGGAACAGACAAGAAAACGCTCGGGAAAT